TTACCACACTGGTATAATAACAAAATTAAGAACTGAAACAGTAGATAATGTCATGAATCAGATATTGACAGTTGAAAGGTATTAGGCATGTTTTCCTAATATAAAAATAATTATAATTCTACTCAAATATAATGATAAAAGATGGCATGCTCAATTAACGGAGCCGAGACTCCCAACTAGCATATAAGGATGTCAAGTAACAATTAATGGTTAACTAAGTATTTCTAACTTCTAAGTGAGCCAATAATGTGAATGCATGCTCAAACCAGTACAAAATACATGTACCCCTATACACAATCCATGTATCAGCATAACTCGATACAAAATTCATGTATCGACCCGGTACAAAACCATGTACCAGCCATGCTCATAGGTAACATGGGTAATCACTTGACTCCGGAGAGACATATCCAAATTCAAGCACAAAGAGGAACATAATAGCATTACTCATCATCAATATCCGATCATCATGTCTTGTGTGCTATAAATGTATCTCATCCACATGTTTTACCTTTCGTGCCAAATCCTGAGTCCAATCAAGTATTCTTATTCAAATGGACGCATATGCTCAGGAATTATAGATAAAAGGTGCTCAAGGACTTAATAAAAATCATACGGATATGTGCCAATGAAATCTCTATGTTACTACGGATAATTAAGCAATTTATCATATCAAGAATAAGTTCCCACGCCTTAGTCATAAGTCTAGGCATGATTTCTAACATAAATAAAAGAGCAAACATAGTCACATAAATCAAATAAAGCATAAATCAAACGAGCACATAGTCAAACAAGGCATACAATTTTTTAATTCTACCATGATCATGATATAAACTCAGTAAGAGTATATACGTGTCACGAGCCCAAAATCCCACTTTTAGAATCGTGATGGTGCCTAGTTCCTAGGACTAGGTAAGCCTATCACATAACAAAATGAACGGAATGAAACACCAACTTAAATAATAATGAAATCTGAAAAAAGCTTTAACATAACGAACAACGAAAATACAAAAGTCACATAAATCCCAAAACCGGTGCTACCGAGTCATAAGCTCTACAGAGAGAACATTCAAAATCTCAAATAAAATACTGTTTGGAAATACAATAAATAGTAGTAAGAAAATCAGCAAAAGGTGACACCGAGACCTGCGAGCAGAATGTCAGGTATACCTTGAAGTCTCCACAACAATCTCAAATCAACTCCCTACCGACCGGCACGCTTAGAGGTACCTGGATTTGCACAAAAATATGCAGAAGCGTAGTATGAGTACACCATAAACGGTACCCAATAAGTATCAAGACTAACCTCGTTGGAGTAGTAACGAGGTTCAAGCCAAGACTCTCACTAGACATAAAATATGTGTAGAGTATCAATATAAAGTTGACAACGGAAAGAAAAATCAATAATGACAACAAAGAGTGAACATGTGAAAATACAACAAAGTAACTCAAACACAGTTAAAATACAAGTGACCCAATTAAGGGAAACAATGACAGTTCAAAAAATCTTCAAGACGTTGAGGTATCACACCTCATAATCACAAGTCACAAATCATTCTTATGACGCCGCTTGAGCTACACATTTTAAAACATTTTCCCGAAATAGCTTCACGCGCATAAGCCCCCTTATATCATCGTGTGTGCTTCACAATGAAGTATTTTTCCTTACTAGAAACACGCGCATAAACCTTTTTATCTCGCCGCATGTGCATCAATTCACACCATCCTTATACCGCTGCATGCGTATCTCAATCACAACTCAATAGTCATCTTGCACCTCACATACACATATACCACAATATTGCTCAATCAACAATATCAAAGCAACAATAATATATAGCCCACGACTCAACAACAATGTATACAAGAATTACAACAACACAATAAAATGGAGAATAACTCAACAAAGAAATGGGTTCCATATAACAACAACTTCAATTCATGGCATATTAATAGCCTAAGAGTCTAATTCAGTCAATATTCCACACATAATCTTGTGTACACACTCGTCACCTAATGTACACGTCTTTTCACGTAGTACAAATAATATAATTAGACCAAATCTTGAGGGGTAATTTCCTCACACGAAGTAAGGTAGGATACTTACCTCAATTAGGCCAACCTCTAAAAGTGCTTTCCTCTAAAATTCACCTCCGCACGACTCACATCTAACCAAAAATGACTTAAATAATATCAAACAATGCAAGATACACCAATTTCGAGTAATAAAGTTATGATCTTTACACAATTCTCCAAAAGTCAATCCAGGTTTTCCCGGTCAAAACCCGAGTCGAAAGGTATCTTGACTACCCATTACCCCACGAGTCCATACATGTATTTTATTTTCAAATTCGAGTCTAATTCGACTCTCAAATCTCAACTTTTTAATTTTTCAAAACATAATCAAAATTTCCCAAAACATTCTCTTCAATTCTCATGACTTAGATGTTAAATCTCATAAACAACCATGTTATGTATTCAAAAATGGATAAAAATTACTTACCCAATAGTTTTGTATGAAAGTCTCCTCCTTAGATCGCCTCCCACCGAGTCTAGGGCTCAAAACTATTATAAATGAGACTTAGTCCAAAATTTCGACCTTTTGTTCAGCTTCAGAAGTCGCAAATACGACCTAAGGTTCGCAAATGCGACCACAGAATCGCAATTACACTGCCTGACAAACCGAGGAAATGTCGCAAATACGACACTGACTTTGCATTTGCGAAGTCAGCCACTTTCGCAAATGCGGCCAATTGGTTGCAAGCACGACCTGCTCAGCCTAAGACCAATATTTGCAATTACGATGCTGGTGCTCGCAATTACGATAACTGCAGCACCAGCACACCAGCAACCTGAAACAAGTCCAAACCAATCAGAAACACATTCGGAACTCACTTGAGCCCCAGGGGATCCATAATAAAATATCCATACAAGTCTAAAAATATCATACGAACTCGCTTGAACAATCAAAAAATACCAAAATAACATTCAGAATCACGACCCGGGCACTAAAACACATGGAGTTCACAATGAAACTCAAGAATGGCCAAAATCACAACCAAGCATACGCTTCCTATCAAACCAACTCGGAATGATACCAAACTTTGCAGACAATTTTCTAATGACAAAACGGATCTATTCCAAGTCTCAAAACCGAAATCGAACCCGATAGGAATAAAGTTAACCTATGGTCAAACTTAGAAAATTTCTCGTGGCTTGTAGTTATGATGTGTGGTACCTCAGGGTGTTTCTATTGTAAACATTTTGTTAGAACGGCTTGATTATTTGGTTGTCATTTATTTTTCTTATTTGGTTTCACTGATACTTTAACGATGTTCTGATGTCACATGTTTATTCTTTGTTGCCATTGATCGATTCTTCCTTCTATTATTAGCTTTACACTGATATACTACATAGGTTATTATGTCTAGTAGGTGTCTTGACTTGTACAACGTCACTACTCCACCAAGTTGTCTTGATACTTACTAGGTACCAATTGTGGTGTACCCATGCTACGCTTCTGCACATTTTTCTAGTGCAAATCCAGGTGTTGGAGGCTGTGGGCCTAGGAAATAATAGCTTATTTGATCGTGAGGATTCAAGTACAGATGCTTGATCGCCGCAATCCCTTAGAGTCTTTTCCTTACATTATTACTGTCAATTTTCTATCCGAACAGTATTGTACTTTGAGTTTTTTGTATGTATTCAGTAGAGTTCGTGACTCTGTACTACATAGTCTTGGGAGGATGTTGTGATATTTGTTGCGTATGCTTGTATCACCCTTATTTCAGTATTTATATTAAACTTTATTTTTAAAAAAAATCATGTTAATTGGTTTAACTGTTGCAAGTGATCGGCTTACCTAGTTTTAGAGACTAGGTGCCATCACGATCCTTAAGGTGGGATTTTGGATCGTGATAGAGTGCCAAGAAAACCGTTGTAAATTACAAAACCAATCATAATGTGCCGCGTTTCTTTAGCATTAAATGTAAGTCCTTTCACTTCTGCAGCATATCATTGTAACGTCCGGAATAGGCAGAAAATAAAAATTCTACTGATTATTCGAAAATTGGAGGAACTATCTGTATTGACAAAAAATAGACTTATTAAGAAAACTGGTCAGATCTCGACACGTATCGAGAATATGAAGAAATTAGAATTTAATTACGATCATAGTCGATAATTGATTATCATCGGGTATGTTGATGCCGTATCTATTATTATCAGGACTATTCGTAGCGAAAACCATTCCGGATCCAATACAGAAGATTTCTCGTATATATAGAAAAAGAAGGATAATTAGCCAAATCCCAAATAAAGTAGGATTAGGAATAAATCCCTAATTAGTTAAAGAATTTCAGCGTAACGGACAACAAAACGAATGAAAATTTTAATTAGTGATTATAACGGGCAAGCGTGATGGGTGAACAATTACAAGTAAATTTGCTATTTAAATCATTTTTCCCTTCAGTTGTGGCCCATTTGAAATTTGTTTTTCATTCATACTCATTGTATTTCCAGCGAGTCTAACTTGAAGGAATCTATTGGCAACGGAATAATCATCAATAAGAATTGTCTTTCCTCTTTTTGCTTTACATAATTGTTTAATTTCATTGTTCATCTCTTATATTATTTCATTGGTATTTAGAAAAGTGTGTGAAATTGATTGTTAGTGTCCCGAAATACAAAAACTAATTGCTTTGACCTTTAAGCTAAATTCTAGGGTAAAAAAATAAATTTCGGATAATATATAGTTTTACTTTTTGTGAAACCATCTTTTAATAGTTTATTTTTTCGAAAAATACTTGATGTGATGTTTTAAAAATCGAACAGACTAAATGAACTCAGACCCCAGAAGTGGGATCATGGGCATGTTGTTATACTTTTATGAAAATAAAGTCATCTACTTTTAATTATTTTTTTTTTCAAATAACATTTCCTTAAAAAGAAGTTACTAATCAATTCATAATGTCGGTGCTCCGGATATGTCAACAGGAGCCCCATTCTGCTCCAATGAACACCTGACCTGTACATACACCCATCTATCTCTACCCATTTAATATAAGGAATAGAGTTCTCTTTTATATCTCCGTTTTTGAAAATAAAGGGAAAGTACGTCTCATTTTTAGAAATCATTCAATTTGCTCTCTTCGAAAATGTCGAAATCTCCATGGGGAAATATCGGCGCTTGGGCCGCCGAAGCCGAACGTGCCGAAGCCGAGGAAAAGGAACAGGCCGCCGCCGAAGCTGCCGCGGCAGCGGCTAGGCCTACCGGCGCCGGGAAGGACTCGCAGAGTTTCCCTAGCCTTAAGGAAGCGGCGAGCACAAAGCAGAAGAAGAAAACAAAGATGAGCTTGCAAGAGTTCACGATGCAAAGCACCTACACCACTCCCACCGGGTATGGGTCGGGATCCACTACCCGATTAACTCCCGACGAGATGCTCCGCCTTCCTACCGGCCCAAAGGAACGATCTGCTGAAGAAATGCAATATGGTGGCCGTCTCGGTGGTGGGTTTTCTAGTTATGGTGGGTCCCGCAGTATGGGCCCACCACGCCGAGATCGAGAGGGAGCCGATGGTGAGGGTTCGTGGGGTGGTGGTGGTAATAGAAGGTCATATGGTGGATTTGATGATGATCGAAGAGGCCCACCTTCCAGGGCTTCAGATTTTGACCAACCATCTAGAGCTGATGAGGTTGATAATTGGGCTTCAATGAAAAAACCATTACCCCCTCCATCACTTGATTCCGGTCCAGCCCGTACTAATCGGTACGGTTCTCTCGGAACCGGAGGTGGTGGAATTTCTAGGGCTGATGGTGATGACAATTGGGGCGCTTCGAAAAAGCCAATTGTCTCGGCCACACCACCACCACAAGGGAGATCTTGGCTCCCAGATTCGAGAGGACCTGAACCAGAGCGTTGGACTCGTGAGGTGGCAACAAATCATGAAAGGCAGAGATTGGTTCTGGATCCGCCCAAGATGGAATTGGGAAGTGAGAATGTGAATGAGACTGTGGTCAAAGTGAATAAGCCGAATCCATTTGGGGCGGCGAGGCCACGAGAGGAGGTGCTGGCGGAGAAGGGTTTGGATTGGAAAAAGCTGGATATGGAAATTGAGGTTAAGAAGGGAAGTAGGCCAACTAGCTCACAATCAAGTAGGCCTGGGAGTTCACATTCAGCTCGGTCTGAAGGCCCAGCGGCATTACAGGGAGGAGTGATGGAAGTTAAACCTAAGCCAAAGGTGAATCCTTTCGGAGATGCAAAGCCAAGGGAAGTTTTGCTTGAGGAGAAAGGTTTAGATTGGAAAAAGATTGATTTGGAGTTGGAGCATCGACGGGTTGACAGGTTTGGGTTCTTTACCTATTATTTAACACTTCTGAAATTGCTGAAATTAATGCAGTTGTAGTTTTGTTTTTATACTTACTAAATTGGTAATCTAAAATGGGCTTTGCTTAATGTGGGGTTTGGTATATCTATACTGTGCAGTTAAGTTTACTATTATTATAGATGGTAACTACAACAGTGGTCATATTGGTATGTTTTGTATGTTTCTCAAAGCTCTTAGAATGAAGCCAGCTTCAGAGTGAAGCATGCATAGAAATAAATGTTGACTTACTACTGGATAATATGATACTTAATGGTTTGCCTAATTTCAATAAGTTAGACCAGTATAATCTCGTTACTACAGGGGATGTGTTTATCTTGTTGATCGAATCACCTGCTCTGAACCGTTGGCCCCATGCAATTAGTTCAAAAAAGTTTCTATTTTTTTTTTACAATTAACATGAAATTTAAGGTGTTTTCTTTTCCTGAGGAAAGAGAAAGTGCTCAGGGAGAAACCTCCACATTTTGGTTAGTTATGAGTAGGTTCAAAAGTTCTCCTATTTCCATGACAGCTAAAAAACAGTCGATGTTATACATTATTAATGAGATATTGAGGTTCCTTCCGAGCTGTCAAAAACTTCTTGGCAACTGCTCCGAAAGTCTCCATTCAGTCTGTTCCATTCTTCTAACCTAGTGCCACTATCACACCATCTGCCCTTCTTTTAGGCTTCTAGCTGAGAAAACATCCTCTTAGCATTTCTTGGTGTTTCTCTCCATCTCACCCTCTTTACTTAGTAAAGGCACAATCAAATTTCTTCCCTCCCTACTGCAATCCCAGGACCGAACAATTTTAGGCCTGACCATCACCATCCTATGACAGATCTGCAAATGGTGAAACCATTTACATGAAAGACAATTCTTTTTTTGCCTGACTTCTTGTGTAAAGAATCTAACTCAGCTGCTGTTAAGAAAAATGAACTATTTAACCTTCAAACCAGTTTTTGCTAATTAGTGGCAATAATAACCTTATTTAAAAAAACTGGCAATAAATAATTGAACTTTTGAACCAGAACTTGATTTGGAAAATAAGTGGATAACCGGTAAGGGAAACTCGAAACCCTTGATACCTCCCTTGTTGTCTTGCTTGCTTTTGGATAAGAAAGGGTTTATTTGAAATAGTTGCTTCCAGTAGCTACTTCCAGGAACTTAAAATTTTGAAGGGGAAATTTCACAATAATTGAGAGAAAGAAATGGTTTCATGTAGCCATCTACTCCCTTTGTTCCAATTTATGTGGCGGTGGTATTTGACTCGGCATGGAGTTTAAGGAAGAAAGAAAGTCTTTTGAAACTTTTGGTCTAAAACAAATCAAAATGACAAAATAAGAAGTTAAAAATTAAATTGTTTCTAAATAAGGAAGTATTACATTCTTTTTGGGACATACCAAAAAAGTGTATGATACATAAATTGGGACAGAAGGAGTAGTACTTTTAGTATCCATTTTACTTGGAGTTCCTCATATACTCGTTCTAAGTTAAAATTTAGACCTCTTTTCTGCAAAATCGAGTGACAACTGGTGCTCGCTAAGTTGGTGAGACGATAGATTAATACATATTAATAGTTCTATTACCAAAAAGATGTTATTTCTCTTATTGTTTTATATCATGTGTTTGTTTCCTTTTCGAGTGATATTTAGTGTTTCTTAAGTTGAAGATACATGATAGATTGATACGTATTAATACTTCTATATATCTTTTCTGTATCATGTGTTTTTCCCTTGGGTGATAACTAGTGTTCCTTAAGCTGAGAAAGATAATAGATTGATGCATATTAATACTTCTGTTTATCTTTTTGTTTTATATGACGCGATTGGCTTTCCCGATGTAGAAAGGCATTAAATGGTTTCTCCTTTATCAGTACGTTCCTACTATTGCTGGTTAGTCTTTTTTATTCAAAATAAGGGCGAGGCTTAGGTTTTGATTTATGTACAACCGACATGGTAATTCTCCCTCCCATTCGCTAAGCTTTACTCTCTTGTATTTCTTTGCGTAGTATCTCTCTTAGCATGGTAATTCGCTTGTACTTTTTGACACACCATAAATATGTCAGGACACACCATAAGTATGCCAGGAAAAATCCTATGCCATGCAAACTTAAGCTTATTTGTCGTCTACTTTGTTGTTTTCTTATCCAACAACAACATACCCAGTATATTCTAACAGTGTGGGGTCTGGGGAGGGAAATGTGTACACAAGACCGTACACATACCTTACCCCTACCTTGTGGAAGTAGAGAGGTTGTTTCCGATAGATTCTCGCCTCAAGAAAAGCAATACTCAGCTTGTTTTCTTATCCAAGAAAGAGAATTCCAGCCTGTTATTGGACTATTACTCCTTTACCTTTTTGAGCATTGACTATTACTCCTTTACCTGACCTTGTAGATTTCTCAATTGTAGCACATTTAACCCGCCTTTTTAAATGACTGGAAATATGTGGATGCGATAAGTTAAAGGCATCAAGTCCCATCCAAAATAAAAAAAAAAAAATTAAAGGCATCAAGTTCATGCTTTTTGGTATAAATATCCATCTATCTTATAAATACTTGATTGCATCTTTGTGTTCACCCTATTACCTTTTTCGGATTAGGTTAACTTTTTCTTCTCATGTCTCTTTTACCTCAAAGAAAAGGAAAGATTAAGACAAGAATTTTCAAGCAATTATGGCTAAATGTGAATCGTTATTTTGCGATGTTGTTAGAGAATGTTGTTGCTTATAGTGTAAGTTGAGGAATTGACGATTGGCGTGGTTAACTATTCCTTCAATTATTAGAGAGTACTCTTTCCGTCCTAATAACAATAAATCACTTCCCTTTTTGGCTGGCACAAAAAAGGTTAGACGATTTTTTAGCTAATGTATTTTTCTGACATTCCAATGTAATTTTTTTTATTTTCTGGAGAAATTGTCACATTTCTGGCTATCATCTAAAAATTTTATCTATCAAACTTCATATTTGAACAGTGTGCTCTTGATCACCGTGCTGCTAAATTCCTGGAATGGAGGGAGTATTATTTAGCATTCAGAAGAATAGTGGTTTCAGTGAGTGAGTGAAAATCAAGAAATAGATCAGCTTCATTCCTAAAAGGATTCTTACAAATTGTAGAAAATTAGTGAGAATAAGGGCTGAGATCTCCTTTGTAGATGCTATGGGTGCTCTGTTTATACCATTTACCTATCAGACACCCAAGAAAAAGAAGAAATCTTTTGATTGCGCTCATCCTATTAGCAGGAATCTGATGTGTTTGTACAGCCCCGATTAAAAAAAAGTGTTCTTACAGCTGTAACCTATTCATGTTTAAGTGGACATCTTTGCAGAATTTGTACTGTAAGATACCAGTGAAGATGATATTTACCATATTAAGGCATGCTCAAAATGCAGATGCCTCCATTGGTTATTTAGGCTTCTGAAGTTTTATCTAATCATGAATAAAATCATTCTTCTTTTTGGTAATTACCCTTCCCTGGACCCCGCGCATAGCGGGAGCTTAGTGCACCGGGCTGCCCTTTTTTTTTCTTTTTGGTAATTCCTTGAAAAATTGAAGGAAATGTTATGAAAAAAAGAAAGTTTAACCATCTAGCTCTTCCTGATTGCTTAAACATTTTAGGCCAGAGACAGAGGAGGAAAAGAATCTGAAGGAAGAAATAGAACAGCTTAGAAAGGAAGCTATGCAGAGCTCGTGTCATGACCAGACTAATTTACAGAATGTGATTAATCAGAAAGAGAGGGACTTGGAACTGCTGATCCGTGATTTGGATGACAAAGTTCGTTTTGGTCAGAAAAGGCCAGGCTCTGCGTCAGGCAGGGAAAAGAATCTGAAGGAAGAAATAGAACAGCTTAGAAAGGAAGCTATGCAGAGCTCGGGTCAGGACCAGACTAATTTACAGAATGTGATTAATCAGAAAGAGTGGGAATTGGAATTGCTGATCCGTGATTTGGATGACAAAGTTCGTTTCAGTCAGAAACCTATACAAAGGCCAGGTTCTGGGTCAGGCAGGGCTACTGGACTTTCTGAGAGGAGCCTTTCTCAGTCAGCATCTTATGAAGATCGTAGAGCTGGTGAACAGATGGACAGGCCTCGATCACGTGGTGGAGATGCGTGGGCAAGGCCAAATGACCCAATGGAGAGGCCTCGATCACGTGGTGGTGTTGACGCATGGGCAAGGCCAAATGAACAAGTGGAAAGGCCTCGATCACGGGGTGGTGGAGATGGATGGACAAGGCCACCAAGTGATGAGAGAAGATCATTCCAAGGAGGTAGAGGAGGTTTTTTTGGCAGCCGGGAGTCTGACAGGTAGAACTCTGGTTCTCTCTCTCTCTCTCTCTCTCTCTCTCCAGACATGTACACCCACACAGCCCAAGGTCCTTTTTCATTGCAACTATAAGTTTGCTTCTACTTACCTACTTATTCATATTTAACTTGTGCCTGATTTTTCTTGACTTGATCTCTCTTTCTGTCATCGGAAATCTGCCGTACATACCATTCCATGAACTTTTTCTTGGCCTCCGTGTTTTTGTTAAATTTTATTCTCTTTGGGTCTGTCAAGATGTAGGTATTGTGTAGGACTGTTTTAAGTATGGTGATGTCAAATGGAATATGGTACAGTCAAGTACTGTGGAGAAATATGTTATTAAAGAATAGATGGATCCAATAAAACCTGTTTGTTTGAAGATATTCCTGCTTTCTCTGATAATTTCTATTCTTAATGCATCTGTCATCACAATAATTCTCCAATCAGACAGTTGCTCTGGAGTTTCAAGATCTTATATGGAATTGTCTTGCTAATAATTTACTTGCAGGAATTATCATTCTCAAAAAAATAATTTACTTGCAGGAATTAGTTTTCTATGTTTTCTTTTTCTCTATATCAATTCATTTTATCTTATCTTGGAGTATCACTGAAGAGTATGAATGTCCACTTTCTGGTGTGCTAATGTTGGGGAGAAGGTATAGGATAAGTGTAACTTTTGAATGGGGGAGTGGGATCTTTATTCATAAATTTGCCATTGGAATTTGATGACCGAGCTAAACCCTTAAGTTAATCTACTTTATCAATGAGAATATGAGATTATGGCTCCTGTTTATTTTCACGCTGTGCTGTAAATTTTTTCTTATAATGTATCTTCTGGGTCTCTTAGTATTATTCTAACTATTGGAGAAAAGTTGTTGATTATGTGGATATATTTCCTCTGCGGCATAGTTTGTGACTTTGCTAAGAATTGAAAGTACAGTATATCAATTGATTGATAACCACAGTGAAGGTGTGGGACCCTAGGAGTATAGCTAGTGACAGCCCCTCTCCCATTCCCAAAGAAACTGTGAAACGAAAAGGAAAGTGCTTTCATACAGGTGAATTATTCTTTTTTACTGTTGGCAGCTTAACGTCTAAGATGTTGCTGAAAGAGGACAGAAGGATGAATAGTAAGTTGTGAACCTGCTGGAATACAGTACTCCATATTTTCTCCAACTTGAAACTTCTTTTTGAGAATTTTCTAGATGTAATGTTTTGTATGATACTATTATGTGAACTGCTAATGACTCCTGCGGGCAAGTATATTCCAGTTTTTTTACTGCCTGAGTCTCATCCATTTTAGTGTGTATTATTGTGAGTGAACTGGTAGTCCCACTAAGGGAAGAAATGATCTAGTGGACGTACTGCGATTTTACGATGCACTCTACTCGTCCTTTTTGGTTACTTATGCTAAATGTGGCAGACATATGTTATTCAAGGATTTATTTTTCATTGTTTGGTGCTTTATATTACTCAATATTTAGAAAGGTGTGTTATTAATATATTTGTGTAATTTGGCAGGACAAGATCCAGGGACAGATGGTGATCTTCAAGTACTGTGGATTCTTTGGCTTCTCTCGCCTGCTTTTTTGTCCTCTGACAAATTAGAACAGAATAATATATTTCAGACTTTCATCTTTTTGGCTTTTAGTTTTGCTGCAAGGATGAAGCTAGAATTATTGAGTGTTGATATGAGCATTTTTGCTGTGGTTAATTGTCTCGTCTCAAAGTTGTGTAGAAGTGTATTTTTCCTCCATTTCTCTTTGGAGGCAGGTTACCAGGGTACCTGTTTTGTTTATTGGTCCAAATGACTTCTGTAACGTGCATTTTGTGGTCATACTTTTTGTTTTTTTGTTTTTTGTTTTTAAAATCCTTTTTGTAGGGAGATACTTCTAAAAGCTATGCTTATTTCGTTAAAGAATGGTTCCCATGTATTCAAAGATATTTATGCCTGATGTTTTATGAGCCATTTAAGCATTCGAATTTAGGTACTAAGTTTGCTTCGTCTATAAGTTGGCCTGATGGTGTAACAGTCTCTATTTTGAATTCTCTGACAACTGTACTTTAGTTGTGCCATTGATGCATTACGGAATTGCGGTGTTTACTTGGTTGTAATTTTTTTTTTTTTTTAAAAAGGGAAGCGTTTGTAGCAAATTTTCTTGATTTTGATACAAAGATTGCATAGGTTTCGTGTGGGAGGGAGACATATTCGAGGTTGATGTATTTTAAACCTTCAGTTGGTCCTTGTACACTGTATGGCAATATCTTGTCTTGTAAAGCTAGCATATTGTGAGTTCTATCGGTTTACCCGTGAAGAGGATGTTTTTGTTCTGAGGAATTTTTACCTTCCTATAGCAAAGGTTAACACCTTATTTATTTTAAATAAATACTATTTAAAAGTATTATATTCTATAGATACCTTTTAAGGTTTATAGCAAAATATTTAATTTTGGTTACCTCCTAGCCCTAAGCCACTAAATACGCTATTCAATTATACTATTTTCTTTCTCTCTCTACTTTGATACATCCCATTCTCTTCCCCAACACGATGCTCAATCTCAAAAGGGTAAGAATTTCTTTCTCTCAGTGAGGCAGCGATGGATCATTTGCTATATACACGAATTTCTTTCTCTTTCAGTGAGGCAGCAATTGAGTCATTCTGCAGCGAAGGCAGCGATGGACCACCAAAAGGGCACGAATTTCTTTCTCTTTCAGTGAGGCAGCAATTGAGAAAGTTCTGCAGTGAATCGTTTACTGTTTGTGCTTGGACTTGGGTGGCCAATGGTGGCTGCTGCGACCGAGGCGTGGCAGTTGCGGCGATATCTACCGGTTTGCTCATCGTTGATTTAGAAGTAGAGAACCGGATTATTGAGAATGGACCAAGTAGTGTTAGTAATTTCTGCAACCGAAATTGAATCCAAAGGAGATGAAGCCTCCGATCGACGATGGCATGGGAACAGTGAGATTCAAGGTTTTTGCTCGACGGCGGATTCGCCGGAAATTAGGGTTTGTTCTTGAACAAAGATGGCGAAGTTTGGAGCTGAGCAACTTGATTTTCTGTTAATATATTTCAATGTTCTTTCGACGTATCACGCTGTATTTTCATGTATTTTATTGTATTCATTGTTTTTTTTTTCCGTTGTAATTCAATGTATCTCGCTATATTCCATGTATTTCATTGTATTCGTTGTCTTTTTTTTCCATTGTATTTCAATGTATCCTGCTGTATTCTATGTATTTTATTGTATTCACTGTCTCGCTATATGCCATGAATGTATTCATATGTTTTTTTTTAATTAATATAATTTATGTATTCAGATGTATTATATAATTTCTCTGAAGATTGCTATGTTTTTGGGGTATTTTTCGGTTGAGAATCTTTTTCATAACTGAAAATACAATTTTGTGTGTTATAATTGAGTTTGTTGAGTTATATTATGAGTCTATTATGTTAATTGATTCACTTTCCGTTTTAAAAATAGTGTAATCCCCTATTTCACGCCGTGAATACAGTCGAATACAATAATCTGTCCAGCTGTAATCCCATGTTTCACTCCACTAGTACCTATGAACGTGCGTTGCACGTTAACAATATCACGTGATGGTTTAAACATTTATTTACACAAAGGAACAACAAAATTTAAGTAATGGGAACGTTTTTATGTATAATAATACAATAATCATCTAAATGCCGAAAAATATTATTACATTAGCATAATACGTGAAATTCAAAATGAAAGGATATCATGAGAACCTACACAAAATGATCAATTTAGTCATGTTAGTTAGATAACTATGTATTATAATTTAAAAGTATTTAATGTGATGGTATCTTACCGAACATTCTTTGTAGACGATATTTTTTTAGGCATGTTTCCTTCTAATGCTTTGGTTGCTCTGTCATAACCACAACTCTTGATGTCAATATTGATACCCCTCTTAAAATACAACATATAGTTGTCCGTGCAAGAAAGCTTATAGCGATAAATATAATCTAATATTTAGGATGTTTGTCCTTGTGCTTTATTTATTGTAATTGCAAAACATAAACATGTTGTAAATTATTTTCACACAGATTTAAAACGAAATCTTTAGTTTTTGAAGACAAAAGATAAATTCAGGGATAAAAATATACTTAGAAGCAGATTGTCCAGTATCATAACTTTTGTATGATATTATTGTCAAAACTTTTATATACTATTAGTGTGCTATTACATAAGCTATTCGGCGGGTCTAAAATTTCAGTAGCATGACGGGCATATTTTTCTGCAAAATCAACCTATATACAATGTAATATCAATTTAAATCGGTCTGTTATATATACGATGACATTAACATGCGTAAGAAATAATAAACTTGACAACAAACTTATATGGTAGAAGGCCGTTTGATATATAGTATTTAAGTATTCTTTTTAGTAGTATATTGGTATCATATTCTGCTGAGTCAAAATCTGAAAAATATTTTATTTTTACCATAAGATTTGCTATTAACCTTTTATTTAGTTGATCAACATATTCATCTATTAGCTAAGATAGCTTTTTAATTTCTATCATGCAATTTAAAAACAACGTTTTAATCTAATGATGGAAATGTTACCCTTATTAAATGCACTACTATTAGCATTGAGGTTAATAACCAAGTGTTTTGGAAGAATAAAATTATATTTTATTGGATGCTCTTCTTCGTTTATGACACGAAGAAAGAAGTCACTGAATACTGGATCTGTTCTTACTTTATATTTCTTATCAGTTGAATATTTTTCATTGTAGACCATAAGTATAATTTTGGCAAGTTAACTTTACAGTCTCTGCTTTTGTCGATTTTTGAACTACTGGTAGTACTTGATAGAAATCACCTCCTAAACCATTAATTTTTTACCAAACAGTTAATTAATATCCAATATATCTCTAGAACTCCAGACGATTGTTTTGATCGTTTGACACTTAGCCATAAATGCTTCACCCCATCTTATCAATTTTGCTTTACTTATTAGCACTATTACGCTGCTTTGATATATTTGTGAAGGTTATTTCAGTTGTTTGAAGAGGTATATCAAATCTAAAGTGATTGACCTCATAATAAAATTATTGCTCGTAGGCGACTTGTTATTATTGCTAACATTATCGTGCCTCTTGATCTGACATTTGCAAGTAATGCATGACATAAAATACTATTTCGATTCGCCCGGAGGCATCTACAAAAGATGATCCCGCTATACCAGAGTCGACTCTTTATAATATAGTCTTGAAAATTTGTTCTTGTTCAGGATTTAGGTTTGATTGTGCTTCCTCAGACACTTGTATGGCATTTTGAATCTTAATACTATATTAACCTTTTTGGTACTTTGTGTTCTAATTTTCTTTTTTGTCTCTAATGCTCTTTTTATGGAATAAATTTATGTACCCTAAGAGGTAGTTTGGTAAAATGGTAGCATATCCCACCTTCTATATGGGATAGCTAATCTCACCACTTTGGTGTAAAAATTATCCCAATATTATCTATTAACCCAAACCAAACATGGGATGAAGCTAATTCCAAACTTTATCCTGGGTTATTATCCTTATCACATGTACCAAAGGACCCCTAAATTTTGTTTTAACTTGAAAAATAATTTTACTCATATGATGATAGAAAATAATTGGATTGGATTCTCTTGCTAAGTAATTTATTGAAAGATTTAATTATTTGGTCTTAAATAAAAAATAATTTATTTAATGTTGATTCAGATCTTAATATTAGTTCATCTCTTGATTTGAATATTTAATCTTAATTATAATTTTATCCACCATAAATTTTATTTTCAGAAGAGTAAAAAGATCGATCTTACATTTTACTTTTAGATCTTTACGTTTGCAGAATCATTAGTAGTATTGACCTTATCAACCATATTTCTTTCTCTTTCTGACATATTTATATTCTTAAATATTTTCTTAGTTGTTATTTAATAATCAGGTATATTTTTCAATATTACACGATAAAATTGATAATTTTTTAATTTGATTAGGAAAATAATTCAAATATAATATAAATATATATTATCGTGGGGATATTTTTTTCTCAATTTCAATGCTTTATGCATTCCATTTAACGTTACTTTTATTTTTTCTTGGTATTGGACATTATAGAGTGATTCTTATGGAATTGATTTTATTAAACCGTCTTACATATTTTTAATATGAATTTAATAAATAAAATTTTATTAATGTTAAAATCTTAAATATTAAAAAATTTAACATAGAATGTATTGTAGTCCAAAAAAATAGGTTATTACATCTGTGTCCTTTTCCTATGAGTTCTCCTGTTTAATATTTTTGAGCTATTTTGGTTTATCAATATTGCATTCATATTTTTATAATAATATAGGCTATCCCTTTTAAATGAATTTGAACAATATAATAAATTCTCAAATTAAATTAGTAATAGCACATTATAATACGTTTTTAAATTATATTAATAATATGAATTTTTAAAAAGTATATCCTAAAAGTAATAGGATTACATGACTAAAAATATCTTTATCCCGAAAATGATTATACTAAAAGAAAATCTAACTTGTTCCTAAAGGTATCAATTTTACATGCTAACATGTAGTATTATATGTCTATGCTGAAAGTAATTATACTAAATTAGTAGACAAAAATAGCCCTAATTACATCAAGCTTTCTATTAAATCAATAGGTTATATTAGTAAAAAAAATATTGAGATAAATATGGAGTTTTAAATAATTACATACTCTAAATATGGTCTTCTTCATTGTTGAAACCAAATTGTAAACATCATCCAAAAAAAATAAATGGGTCCGATCTTAATTGCAGCACTCCATTCAAAAAAGAAGACAAAGATATTCTATATGATGTTGAATCACAATAATGTCATAACTAATGTGAAATATATAAACAACGAGCAGAAGTAAGCAAATTAATTAGATACATACAAACAAATTCCTAACGTATAGTATATGTCCTAAAACTAATAAGATTATAAGGCTAATATTTAGAATTTCAGTTATGTCCTTTTACTATGAGTATTATGCTTAATATTACAAGGTTATTTTTGTAAACCGACATTGTATTCATGCTTTTATAATAATATAGATAGATAGATGAATATGGTCGAATATACTCGAATACAATAACTGATTAGCTGGACTTCCCTAATTCACGCCTATTTTTGCTACTGTATTCATGAATACAATAGCTTAAATACATGAAATACATCTTATAACCACAGAAAAGGTATCTATAATCCGTAATATAGCAAATGATATCTATAAATGTCTAATTATTACTAAAAGATAATGTTTTATGAAAACTTCCTTTTTCTTTTAATCCTTAGTCACATGGGGTGCTTCAAAATGGGAGATAAAATCAAGAATACTTGCGACATCATATTCGAATAGCTAGTGGGCCTAAGCTATTTCATTGCATGGAAAAGATTTTATCTTAAGGTAGTTGTGAGTTGATACGGAAGGCACGTGTGGAAATTACATAAGGAAAACTTTGGTATCTTTTCGGACGGGAAAAGGACAAATATACCCCACTATTAAAACTTAATTACAAGCCATATCCCTAAAACCTCTGATTACCATTGGTACCCCCAATTCTTTCCACCCGATACCCGTTTTTCTCCCAACACAATATACGCGCGATTTTCTGCGTATTTCTCGTTGCCTATGGAGTATATAAAATGCAAACTCAAATAAAACCTAAGAATTTTTTACTGTCTTCACTTTTGTTGGTGAGCAGAGGAATTTGGGAGAAAATTTGGGGAAAATTGAAGCTCTGACAAATTTGGGAGAATTTTTTGGATTCAAAGATGAAATATAACAATGGTTGAAATACGTACGTTGCTTTCCTACTGTCTGCGCTTTTGTTGGTGAGCAGACGAATTTGGGAGAAAAATTGGGGAAAATTGACACTCTGAAAAATTCGGATTAATTTTTTTTTTTTTATTCAAAGCTGAAATATAACAATGGTCGAAATACCTACGTTGCTACATCCTAGTAGGTGTTGGTCTGATGATAATCTATTTAGAGATTTTGAAGTTGAAGCAATGTTATTCAAATTGAATTGGAATTTTGATAATTTTCAGTTCGAGATTACAAAGTATCTTCATAAAGAGTATATGACTACAGTTGATATCAAGTATAATGTTAAAGACGGTTATCCACCATTAACAGTAAATAGTGATATGACTTTGAAGATGTATATCAAGTTGAAAGAGACAAATTCGGATGTGACAACTTTTCCCCAGTGTATTACATTCAAGGAGAATAATGCATATGCGAGCTGGTCGACTATAAGATCAGTTGCAATGCCAAGGCTATGAATACAAAGCATGATCGTGAAAATAGCATCGCACCATGAAGATGAAGCCGTTGATATGTTAACAACACGAAAATCTGAGAGTCATAAGAATATGGAAGTCAATGATATGAATATAATTACAAATGCTTTACACAAAAAGGTTAAAGTGGGCCAGTTATTAAAAGATAAGGAGACCATACGTAATGTGATGAAGTACTACGCAATCAAGAACAATTTCCAATTCAAAGTTCAAAAATCATGTTCGAGAAGGTGTGTATGAGATTAGGATTTGAATAAGTTTACCAACACTTGATTATGTCACCAAAAAATACTAGCTAATGATGTAATCTGCTTTGCCTGGTGTAGTTTTCTTTGTCTTAGTTTAAACAAGTTAGGTTTACTATTTATTTTTAACTTTCAGAGTTGTGATAGTATACCATATTTTAATTGGCATATGTTATAAACATCTATATAATAGCAGGTACTTCATTGGTTGTGTATATCAGAATTGTTCATGGGATTTTAAAGCATCAAGGCTAAACAAGTCTCATGTTTTCAAAGTTAGAAGCTTCAACAAACTTCACACATGCCCAATTGATGAAAAATTTGATACATGTGACGCTACTTCAACAGTTATAGAAAACTTGGTAAAACACAGGGATACTGACCCAAAGTCAGTACACTGCTGGAGACATACAACGTGATATGTTGAATTATTATGGCGTCGCCATGAACTACAAGCAAGCGTGGAGAACAAAGGAAAAGGCTCTTGAAAATTTGAGAGGAAATTAAACCCAGGTAGTGGGAAGTTACTGAAATATCTTTATATGTTGGAGGTAACAAATCTAGGATCTGTTACTAAGCTGCACAAGTCGGAAGATAAATGCTTCATGTATCTATTTGTTGCACTTTATGCAACAATTAAAGGATTGCGGTATTGTTGGCCTATTCTAGTAGTTGATAGGACTTTCCTGAAAATATCATACAGAGGAACCTTAATCACAGCTTGCATGCAAGATGCATCAGGTAAGTATAGATCATCAAATATTATATTATTTATAAAGTCCTTTTTTTTTTTTCTTAAATCAATGATATATTATTAATAATTCAAATCTTTTATACAAGTAAAATTCTTCCTCTTGCTTATTCAGTAGTTGATTCAGAAAATGATACATCTTGGGAATGGTTTTTCAGAATATTCAGGGATACATATGGCCTTAGGGATAACATGTGCATAGTGTCAGATAGGCATGAGAGTATCGCAAAGGCATCTTCTACTATCTACCTAGACGTACCCCATTATTTCTGTATTTTCACCTCTGGAACAACTTTAAGGCGAAATTCAAGAAGAGTCATAACCAACTTGCGCAAATATTCTTCAAAATGGCCAAATCATACACAATCGACAAGTTCAATTACCAAATGGCAGAGATTGGAACAATTGATAAGAGGGTTCCGGAATATCTATTTGATGTTCGATACGACAAATGATCAAGAGCACATTCAAAAGTTAACAGAACAACAATAATGATATCTAACATTGCTAAATCTATGATTTCAGCTAATAAGTCTGCAAGAGATCTCCCAGTAACTCCGTTACTAGATTTCATGATAAATTTGATTAAGGATTGGAACTACAGTAACAAAAAGCTCGCAACAGAAATATTTATAAAGGTTGGACAGAAGTATGAAGATACGTTGGAAGAAAACTTTATTTCTGCACGGAAGATGATGGTATAATTTTTATGACCATACTTATTAGATATATTTCAGTTTGTATGATATTATGCTAGAGCAGTTTATGGTACAATTTTTATATAGCACTAATAAATATGTTTTAATAATGTAGGTAAAGTCATCAAATAATTTGTTCTATACAGTATATGATGGAGGTAGCAGATATGTTGTCAGTATGGAGGAAAGAAAGTGCAAAGGATTTCTATTGGATGAATTTCCATGTCCGCATTCTTTGGCAATTATTAAGAAATTCAATATGGAACCATGTCAATACTACTCAGTATACTACAAAAAGGAGTACTTGATTACGACTTATGAAGAATCAGTGCATCACATACCTAATAAAACTACATGAGAGATCCCTACAGAAATCTCAGAGTATGATCTGCTACCACCCAAGGGGAAGATCAAACCGAGAAGGCCACAGAAATCGAGATACAAAAAATCTCATGAAAAAAATCCAAGAGATCAAAAGTGGAATATGTAGACAAGAGGGTCACAACCGTAAAACGTGCAGGAATCCTTCAAAGAGCACTTAACATATATTTAATGTCTTAGAAATTTGCATAGTGTCAAATTGTTTCATTGGATTACTGTAATAATGTTACTCATATATTTTCTGGAATAAAGTTCAAAAAATATATTGGCTTTATCTATCTCAGCTTCTTACCTTTCATTTCAATTTCTTTTTCAGTTAATGAGATGATGTGCTAATGTATCCAACTGTTTTGCTATAGAGAATACTATTATTCCAAACAATTTTGGTATACTACAGTATATACCATCATTGCTGCCATTCCCCATACTGTTGGTATGTTACTATTCTTGTTATACTCTATATAATACCACGATTATTGGTATTCATAGGGGGCGCACCATTACTAGTATTACCATGGGTCTTAGTATACTTGGTAGTATACCATGTTTATTGGCATTGACAGGGTTATTGGTATACTATGAAGTATACCATTATTCCTAATCTTGGTATACTATAGAGTATACTACGATTAATGGTATTCTCAATAGTGTTAGTATACTACAGAGTATACCAATGAAACACCATTTTGCTTAGCTGACATGCGCGTGTTTAACACAAAAATAAGAGCATGAGAAGAGTATAATTTTGTCCAAAATCTTATTTAAGTGCCATCCGTCAAAAACTAAACCAAAATGGAAAAGGAAAAAAAAAAAGGAAAAGGACCATCTGGTCTGAGCAATTCGCCGGCAGTTTCACCATAAAAATATGAAGCCCAATCTACAATTTACACCATAACATTCAATCAAATAAGGTAATTTAGTCATTTTCTCTGTCTTTTCCTTCCCAATTCAGAATTTTCGACGATTTATAGTGGTGTCGAATTTTTGAATCGTTATTTGGGAGGAGAAAGTTTTGAACCTCCATTGTTGGGGTTTCTTGAGTTTTCGAATCGGCGTTTGGGCGGAGAAATCTCGAAACAATGATAGAAATTATTTGGACCGAATTGCTGAGCTTGTTTACTAAATTAAATTTTTGTTGCTATTCTAAAATTGATTTTAAGAGTTATTATTGGGCTTAAATTTTTGAATCGGCTGCTGGGTTTGTCAAAATTCGAACCTGTGAAAAAATTCGAATTCAAATTTCCAGCTACTGGTTCAATGAATGTGGAGGTGGCGTGATGAGTGGTGGCAGCTATGGTGGTGGTGGTCACATGCGCTGATGTGCAGGAGAGATGGGGGAGCGAAGAGCGGATTTTATTTTTCTTAGAAAAAGTTCTCTTGTAACCATAATTTGGAACCTAATGAATTTGTGGAATTGGAATTTGTAGAAAGATGTGAAATTATTATACAAAGATTATTCTCAACATTGGTGGCCGGAGTGGATTCTCCGACGAATTAGGTGGGGAGTTCCTTTTCTTTTTCTTTATTTTTTTTAATAAAACTTGGATGAATTCTTTTTTTTTTTTTTAAAGTTAGTGAGACATGTCACGACCTTATTCATGCGTGACACACATGTTTAGAATACGTGGTCAAAAATATAAATGGTGTGTCATCGACACACTTCTACAAGGTTTGGGTGTGTAAAATTATTTCCATGGTCAACAGGTGTATAAAGGAGATTCGACCACAAGGTCAGGTGGCATTTTATGTATTTTTTCTAATTATAAAGTATACGATAATAACTGGTATTGCATGTATACCATGATAACTGGTATTCTCAGTATCCTTGATCATTACTGATATTTTTAATGGGTCTTTGGTATAATAACAGTGTACTATAATAATTGGTATTCCAGTGGTCTTGGTATATATTTAACAATAATCAACCAATTTTTTTTTATTTTTTATAAAAGCATACAAAAAATTATGATATTAGCATAAGATAACAGTTGCAGAAGGAGCACTATTACAACACAAAAGACTAAATTCAAGATTTCTAAAAAGAAGTTTAGATGATGTCAGCATATAGCATACTCAGAAGCAAAAAAAAGAAATTTCCTAAAGTACATCAATAATTTTTCAATGTTCACAATTATAATACTACTTTTCCAAAAAGTTATATGAAAGTATTAATTAATCAACACCATCACCAACACTTACAGCCTATATATAAAACTACTTACTCCTCGTGTTGCACCTTTTCGAAACACATGGTTTGTTCAATATTCCAGTGGCCTCATATTCGCTAACCAGATTTTCACTTGCTTCTTCCCATAATGGTATACTAACGTACCAAATCTAGTTCGAAGACGTCCAGAATCAAAGATATAATCGTCTGCAGGAATCTTCTTACCTTCAATGATATACTCCGCAAATGCATAAAAATATACACCGCAATCACTACATACAAAAACATAAATAAAAAGAAATAAGATGACAATAAAACAGCAAAAACAGAAGAAGATTATATAAAACCACATAACCACTTACGCTTTTTCCTGGTCATGCAAGTCTTTCACTGATAAAAGAGGAAATGGATCAGCTAGATTCTCTTTTCCCAAATAATGAGAGCGATCCCTTGCAATGTCATGTCTTTGCTCATAAAATGGAGTAGCGGCTAGCAACAATGGTATGAAGATAGCAAATGGCTGCAATGTTTCACGAACAACTGCATCATTACTTGCAGATCTCATAGTTGTATATGTGATTTCCAATGCCATTTAGTTTTCACTTTAATTGGCATAAGCACATAATCAAAGTCGACCCATAGGGTGTTACAATGTCCCGATCCAAAATCTCTCCTTAAGAGTCGTGATGGCACCTAATCTCCAAACTAGGTAAGCCAGTATTTAAACATTGTTCAAAATAATTAAAGCATGAAATAAGAAAAATAGAGTTTAACATAAAAGCGGAAATAAGAGTAATACAGGCCAAAGCGGCAAAAACTCAACATAATATTCCAGAACTAGGTGGTATAGAGTCACAAGCTCTAACTGAATACACAAGATCAATCTCAACTACAACACTGTCTAATACACATAACAATAGAAATAAAACAAGAGGCTGACTCTAGGCCTGCGAACGCCATGGCAGGTATACTTTGAAGTCTCCGCAGCAAATCCCAAATGGCTAACTAACGTCCGACATGCTCCGTAGTACCTGGATCTACACAAAAATATACAGAAGCGTAGCATGAGTATACCACAATCGGTACCTAGTAAATATCAAGACTAACCTCGGTGGAGTAATGACGAGGTACAAGTTAAGATACCTACTAGACATAATAACCTGTGCAAAGTATATAAAGCTAACAAGAATGATATCAATATAAAGCTAAACATGGAAAGAACAAAAACATAACGCTAATAAGGGAAAGTAAAAGCAACAAATAGCAATAAGGAGTAAATAGGTGATAACGCAGCAAAGTAACCAGAACACAGCTAAAGTACCAACGAAACCAATTAAGGAGAACAAATGACAACCAAATGATCAAACCGTCCTATTACAAGGTTTACAATGAGATTCACCTCGAGGTATCATGCCTCATACTCACAGATCACGAGTCCCAATTCAACAAATCATATACACATGGAACCTCATGCCCATATTATCAATCGCAGCCGCACAGACAACTCATGCGCCAATATCAAATCGCCTGGCATAGTTACATGATCAATATCACAATCTGCCCGGCATGATCACATGCTCAATATCACAAACCGCCCGGTGTGGTCAAAGGCTACCAGTTCGGCTATATTGGAGAGAAACAAATATATAATAATACATGTACATGGTCAATGATCATCAAGTATCATACTCCTAGACTAGTATAAATGTCATGTTATGGTATATGCATGTGCAAGTGTACTATCACAGCTCAAGTCAACAAGTAATATCAGTGACACCGAGTAGCATAATGAAAACAACACAACAAATCACGTAATATGCATGACACACACAAGGAAGTTACACTACCAAACGAATATCATCAATAGTATGCCCTGAGGCCATCACATATCATCCCTGACATAAACCCCCTTGTCTCGCCGCGTGCGCAACAATATAGTAAGTGCCCGCCTTGTCCCGCCACATGCGCGTTAACAATTATCTCACCTTGTCTCGCCATATGCACAAACCCAACATATGTAAATAGCCCGCCTTGTATCCCCATATGTGAAATATCAATAATAAAAATAGCACGACAGAAACCTCATGCAAACACCCCGACAATCCGCTAAACAGGACCATATATGCTAAAATACAACAACACAATATAACAACTCGCACCATACGTTCTCATATACTACAATATTGCCATAACAACAATACCAATACCGCAACCATATATAGCCCACGACTCAACAACAACGAACACCAATAACAATAACAATAACCCAAGAGTACGAAAAATAAATCAACACAAGAATTGCAGCAACACGTTGAAACAGACGAATAACCTCTACAATGAAAGATATATCATGTAATAACAACTTCAATCAATGTATATAAGAATAAACTCAACAATGAAATATATAACATGAAACAACAACTTCAATTAATTGCATATGAGTGACCTACAAGACCTAACCTGTCAATTTCCATATATGAGCCTGTGTACACACTTGTCATCTTATGTGCACGCTTCCACATAATTCAAATAGTGCAGTTAACCCAAATCCTACGGGGTAGTCCCCCCTCCCCCCCCCACACAAAATTAGACAAGAAACTTACCTCAAAGAAGCTAATCAATACTCTAAGAAGCCCTTCCCGTGTGAGACAACCTACGGATGACTCGAATCTAACCAAAATAACTTAATATCATAAATAAAATCCATATGAAATGATTTCGAATAATAAAGCTTCGGTCTTGAACCAAAATAAAAAAATCAACCTCGAGACAACACCTCGGAACCCAACAAAACCAACAAAATCCAAACACTCATTCTGATACTAGTACAACCATACAAAATTTATCCAATTCCGACCTCAAATCGGCATCATTATTTTACGATTTAGAAAAGTTTTTACTAAAGTTCCCAATTTCTCCAATTCAAATCATCAATTAAATGATAAAAACAAGGATGAAATCATGAAATATAACCAAATCCGAGTAAAGAATACTTATCCCAATCCAAATCGTGAAAATCCCCTCCAAAATTGTCAAATCCAAGCTCTCTAACTCAAAGACTGATAAAA